GGGCTGGGCACTGCCCAGGGCAGCCGGGCCTGCAACTGGAACAAGAACCCAAAGCCAACGTTAGGTCACTCCCTGGGACACCCAGGGGAGCAGGGACCACACACACACATCGCTCACCCTGGGGCTGCATGGCTGCCTGGGCTGTGGCTCTCTTCCTGGGCGTCAGGGCTGGCTGGATGGGCAGAATTCCAGGGTTGGGCTGGGTCTGTCCTGCTTTAGGTCTCTGGCGGGGTGCTATGGACGTTTCTGTTGTAGGGATGGGGTCTGTGAGCCTGTCAAGGAAGGAAGGGAAGGAAAGGCAGTGAGCACAGCCTGAGTTGGGGCAGCTGGTGCACAGAACACACAGCAGGGTGAAACACTCACCCACACTTCAGCTGGGTGTGACTGACAAAGGTGAAGCATTCCTGGGCACCCAGACACACCAAGCACAGTAAAACCCCCTGGATGCATTCACAACAATTAATCCAACACTATCATTCTGACTTCTCTGCCAATGGTGGCATCTTCTCCTGGTGGACAGCTGGGACTTGTCAAAACCACTCAACTTATACCCAGCTATTTCCTACAACATATTGCTTGAAACCACTCAGACTTCTGAATGAGCACATTAAGGACACAAACCAGCTCAAGAGCAGCTGGTACCTTTGGGCAGAGTTGTCTGAACTGCCATCTTTAGATGTACTTTAACTTTAGTACATCCACCCCAGAATCAGGCCACTGAACTCTTCTATCTCTGCTCAGTGTTTACTGAGCTCCAGAAATGCACAGCAAGAGAGAGGAGCAGCCATGCCCCAGCCTTCTGTGAGCACTGTGCTTTGGAGATGCCAAACTGCTCCTGGTAACTACCAAACCTGGGATCAGATTGTTCCTGATAGCTGACACACTGACTAACGGGAGAATAACTCTGCTCAGTCACCATGTGGCAGCTGAAGTCCCCAAGGAAGGAGCTAAATACACCTTTGCTAATAAACAGCAGAGACAACAGGCAACAAAAGAGGGAGCAAAAAGCAGGTGGGGTTACCTGGCCTTTGGTTGACTCTACTGGGAGATCTGAGGATCCCCAAAGCAATTACTCCTCAAGCTGGACACACAAACACCACAAGGCTCACGTCATGGGGAGACAGGAGTTTGGGAGAGTATTTACAAAGGAAGAAAAGTGGGCTTAGCTTTTTGTCCACTGAACATGGAATGTGAACACAAAGCTCCACAGCACGACCTGGGCATTTTCACAAGACAGCCAGTCTTTTGTCATAGTAGTGACAAAATTTATTAATGATGCTATAAAAACACAGGTATAACAGAACCCAAACTATCTCTTATTCATAAAGACCATATATAAGCATCTGAGCATGGGGAAAAAACCTTAAGTTTCTATTTATGTAGAAACAACAAAATAAAATGTCTGTCACAGGTGTCCATAACAATACAAGAAAATAATTGTCAACTCCATTTTTCGGCTGAAAAACACTCTCAGAAGGGGCAGATGGCTGTGTGAGGTCTGATGCAGTTCAAATGCCAAGTCCCAGCCAACAGACCCAGAACTGCTGTGTCCAAACCCAAGTGCAGGCCAAATTACACATGCTATGATGAGTGTGCCTGGAAATGAGACTGCTTTCCCAAGCACAGCCTGATTTTCCATGTTCACATGCACAAGATCTCTTGGTTGGCCTCACATTGTGACTGGGTGAGGAGGTAAATCAGGGACAAGCAGAAATAAGTAACATCAGAAACCCCGATTTCTGACCCAAAAATCCCAAACCAAACTGTGCTGTTACAAGCAAACAAGCCCCTCCTAATTAGAGAAGTGGGGAACCAACAGAACAGAGCCACACATGACACACAAATGCTCAGGATCCTGCAAGTGCCTCCCCAGCCCCTCCCAGAGCCCCCCACCAGCCCAATCCTCTGCTCACCTGCACATTCTGCACCGGGCAGTCCTTCTTGGCCAGTTTGAAAGCAAAGTAGGAGACCTGATAAATGTCAGGTCTCTTGTCAGGGTCTGGCTCAAGCATGTAGCCTGGATGAGACAGAGACACTGAGATCAGAGCCACAGGGCAGCTGTGGCAGCACATCAGACGTGACACCACAGGGGACTCTGCTGTGCTGAGGGTGGTGAGGTGCTGGCACAGGGTGCTCAGGGCACCTGAGGATCCCTGCAAGTGCCCCAGGCCAGGCTGGACAGGGCCTGGAGCACCCTGGGACAGTGGAAGGTGTCCCTGGCCATGGCAGGGGTGGCACTGGAAGGGTTTTAGGGTCCCTCCACCCCAACCAATTCTGCTGACTATGGGCTCAGCTGGGAACACTCAGGATGGACCAGGACAGATCTTCCAGCAGAGCTGGGACCTGCAGCTGCTCCCAAAGCCTCTGGGGCAAGGAGGGAAAATGCTGCCTGGCCAGGGAACAACACTGGGTGGGACTGGGCACTTCCAAGCGAGCCCACAGGAAAAGGGCTTGATCCAGCCCCTGTGTGCCAGCAGAGCAGGGAGACAGGGCAGCCACAGGCATCACTGCAGATACCCCCACATCAGCAAAGAAAATACCAGCCTGCCCTGCAAACACATCCAACTCTGTCTGACTCAGGACTGTGGCTAGGGAAAGAAAAAAAAATCAAAAGCTGTGCTGGAAACAAGACAGCTGGGCCAGCTTTGCCAAGAGTACTGCATTGTACACTTAATTACACATTCACTCTAGTCAGTGGGATATTTATAAATCATTTCAATTCTGTTTCCCAGTTCACAGAAGATGAATTCTTATCACTAGCCTAAGTCACTGTGGTCTTTTCAGTTCCTTATCCAAACAGATTTATTACTGCAGAAATACGTTCCTACATAAATAGGCTCATTGTGCAAGTTTCTGCAGGGCTCAAACCGAACGGTTGTGTGTGCTCCTGCCTTTCCACAGAGCTCACTCCAGCCTGGCCAAACAGAAATCTCCTTGTCACCACTGCCTCTCCAAGACTCATCTCCTAAAGCAGTAAAAGATCACTCTAACCACCTCTGTGTGCAAGCAGGCCTGTGAAAAGGAGAGAAGAGCTCGTGTTTTTACTGCAGGGCTGTCACTGTAAGGGCCAAAGCCCCGTGCTGCCTGTCAGAGCTGCGGCCCTGGCACTCACGGATGAGGCAGTGCATGTCCTGGGAGTGCCGGGAGTTGTCTGGAATGGTGAAGTTGCCGTCACAAATGGCCACCTGGCTCTCCCCAAAGGGCAAGGAGAAGTAGCACAGCTTGTACAGCAAACAGCCCAGGGCCTGCAGAGAGAGAGAGAACAGGGCAAGGATTCAGCAAACAGCCCAGCAGGGCACGGCACAGCTCCAACAGCACGGGAGCAGGGGGGTCCTGCTGGTGCCAGACCTGCACCAACACCCCGGGAGGGACCTGAGACAGGCACAGCTGCAGGGGAAGATGAGCACATGCAGAGCTCTCCCTCGTTAGACACTGATCTGGGGGATTGCTCATCATCACACTCCCCACAGCTCGACCCTTCGTGTCACTGAACGGGCAAAGCCCTTCTGCCACACACTGGGAGGAAAGAGCAAAGTAACAGCACAAATAAATGGCAACCATCATCACTAATACATCCATTCTGACAAAGAGAAACCCAAACTGTTTCCAAGATTAAGTTCAAACAACCTTTCAACTGCCATAAATAAATGCCAGGGAAGTACAGCTCATTCTGCAGGCTGCCAGGTTCTACCACCCTTCCCTCTACTGCCACGCTGCTTTTGGCAGCAAGAACCACCACCTATTGCAAAAGAAAACAGTTTTTGCACAAAGGGCTAATTATGAAACACTCCTGCCATCTCAGAGTGGGGAGCAGGAAACATTTCCTAATCCTAAGAAACTCATCATCAGCTCATCTCTTTCGTCACAGGATTTCACAATGAAATTGCTCTCTGGCTTAAAATAACCTCGATAAGAGTTAAGGGAAAGGGAGGTTTCCAGCAGGACAAGCACTGGAACAGGCCTGGAAGCTGAGGCCCCGTTGTGCTCACCAGCACACACCGCTCTGGACACCAAGTGTCACTGGGACAGAGCTCCTGCCATGCCAGAAGAGCAGTTTCCACTCCAGCACAGGGAGGAGTGCAAATCCTGGCTCTCCTCTGGCTGCCTGTCCTTTCCCAGAGTCACAGCTGTGACCTCCCCTCTGCACTCACCCCAGTGACCCTGCACAGGGCAGGGCTGGTCCCACAGCCCCCTGGCCAAACCTGCTCCTACAGGAGCTGCTGCTGCCCCAGCACCAGCCAAGCTCACCCAGGGCACTTTCAGCAGATGTCACACCAGCAATTCTCCCTCCTGGAGATGCACAACTATTGAACATACATCAAAACTCTCTTTTTCTGCTTCTACCATGTTACTTCCTAGCTCAGGGCTTCAAAAAACACAAAGCATGCTCCCAGATAGCATTTCAAACATTTTTGAATACATGTGCTGAACTGCCACTCCAAACAGCACAGACTCTTTACCTCTGTCCCACCCAAAGGAGCCTTTCCCCCTTGACCAGGGTAGCCAGGAATGGATTCCACCACAGCTGGATTTTGCTCTCACCATGAAGTAAGAGCATGGCAGGATTGTCCTGATCATCAGGAACAGAGCAGAAGTTTGGCCAGTTTGATAACTCAGCCCTGTGTTACACTGCTGCTGCAGGGAGCTGGGCACAATGAGCCACAATACCCTCAATTTTCTGCTTTAACTCTTAAGATATGAAATCACATTGCCCTATTCAACCCTGGAGTTTCATCCATCTCTAAATTCAAACCACATTATCTGCTCCACCAGCCTCCCTGCTCAGCAGGAACTCATCAGACACACACTCAGAGGAATTCTTCATTCAGAAACTGTCCAGGCTCTCAGAAAGTGAGGCCAGCCCCGTTTCCCTGCCATGGCAGTGGAAGCAGCCTGGCTGGAGGATGCCCAGTGGTTTCCATACATACCCAAATATCTGCTTTTGTAGTGATGAGTTTGCCACTGTACAGGTTCACCATCTCTGGTGCTCTGTAGGATAATGTCGTGTACCTGCAAGGGAAGGTGGATCAGGGAGTTCAAAAGGTGCATCAGCTATGTCATATTCCTAAATAATTCAAAATTCACTCTTTCCCTACTCATTTTAAGGAAAGGGATGCTAAAGATATCTGTGCTAACAGCATCACCTGCTACACACCTCAAACAACAAAACACTCCTCAAACTGCCCTGGGAAGCCAAAATAGCCACAATCCTTTCTAAAGCACAGAATTCACCACAAAACTGTGCAGTCATCTTAGGAACAGAAACATTCAAGGATTCAAAGCATCAACAAGGTCAGTAATCAAATGTCCTCTGCAATGCCCTCACTGCAGGGCTGTGGCCAACTGTATTACAGAGATTGTAATTGGATATCTGGCTCCTAAAAAGTTGATTCCCACAGCAGGAGTCCTGCTCAGAGCCTCTGCAGCAAGGGATGGGTTACTGTGTACCCCAAACCACAGCCAGAATCTGCCTCATCTTAACAGATAACAACAAACAGAAAAGCTGGAAACTGCTCCACAGATTATCAGGCTCTTCTGATAAGCTTTCCTACCAGCAGGTCTGCCTTTTCTGCCTGCTGCTTACCCTGATCACAGGAAAGCACTGCCAAAGGCAAAGGTTTTGTAGGCTTAAGTGTACAAAGAGGGCATTCCAAGGGGACTGCAACACTGGATTAGGAGCACGCTGAAAACTCCAGTCAAACAAATCTAGGAAATGCAGGCAGATGTAGCTGAATCCTAACAAAGAAAAGGCATCTGTAGCCATCCCTGGCTAGCCAGAAAGCTGTGCTAACAGGAGTGGCCAGTCTGCAGCACTGATGTCAGAGCTGAAGCAAGGCCAAGGATCTGGAGTGTGCTCCAGCCCTGATCCAGGGCTCACAGAACTGCAGGTGAACCCCTCTTTTCCAAAGCACCAAGGGGCACCAGGGATGCTGCCACGAGAGCTGGCAGTGCAGGAGGAGGAGCTGAACACATCCAGGAGCTGACACTTGGCATGCAGAGCTGGGATCAGCCCCAGCCATGGATCCATGGGGAGGGGAGCTCAGCGAGGCTGGGATTGTGTCACCCCTGCCTGGAGCTCAGAGAAGCCAAGGCAGATGAAGGACAGAGACAGCCTGACCCTGCACAGCACAGAACAGGTCACTGCCTCGCCGAGGTGAGCCTGCTCCTCTGCATTAATCTCAGTCTTCCAGGTCCAAAGCAATTACATCAAGCTCAATTTATTGTTTCACCTTCCCCTGGGCACTCACTCACCTGCAGCAGACACTGCCAATCTGCTGCAACAGGCTGAGCAAAATTAATGCCAGCACAAGGAAAAACAACCCTTCAAACACAAACTGCAGCTAAGCTGGGCACACTTACTTCTTGATCTCCTCCTCCACTGCATTCACCCCTTCTGTTTGAGGGTTCTGGAATTTGTTAGTAGCACTTCCAAAGTCACACAGGACGTAGTGGCCACGGTCATGCAGCAGGATGTTTTCAACCTGGGAGCATCACAGACAGAATCACTCAGACAAAAAAATATTCAGGGTTTGTTTTTTTTTTCGGATGAATCAAGGTTTTAAGTGCCTGAAGACATATCAGACACATCTGACACTAAAGCCTAATGTGACAGCAAAGAAAACAGGCATCAAAACTCTGTCACATCTCCTAAAATAGAAGTTAAATCATGGAAGCACAGTTGTAACACTGCCTTCCATCCTGCCACCCCTCCCTTCTCCTCCTGCAAGCGCATTTCTTTGCCTCTTGTAAGATTTCAGTGTCCCAGTGCCTTTGGGTGCCCCTGGTCTGGTGTCTGAACTGGGCACAGGAAATCCAAACTGTCCCTAACTCCTGTCTGTGGGGCAGAGGGAGACAAACAACACACACACTTCCACATTTCTGAAATTAAAACACATCTCCAGGTCTTTGCCTGCATTTTACCTGTCCTGAGGGTGTCATTCAAAACAAACCTCAGCTCATGCTCACATTTATTTGTTTGTTCTCAGAGTCTGCTGGGTGCCCCACAGTCCCTAAAGCAGCAGAGGCTCCCCCAGACTCCTAAGACCCCTTTTGTTCAAATATTATTTGGTACCTTGAACAGGCAACAGAAACAATTGCTGAAACAAATGAAATCAGCAGAAAGCTTCTCCTCACTACGCACAACTGTGCATTAACAAAACTCTACCTTGCATCCACCTAAGAAAATTCCCTGTTTCAACACCATCTGAAAATGTGTGAAACCCTGTGCTCAGATCTTTGCTTTGGCAGAGCATCCCTGTGGAACTCCTCATCTGTCCAGCAGCATTAACAGCATGTTCTCCCGAGGGAACACACAATTTTTCACGTCTTTATCTTCAATCACGTCAAATTCTCAGATACAACAACGAGATAAAACATACTGCTCACACGGTTCAAAATAAAAGAAATCACCACATAAGCATTTGCTAACAAAACCCTTTGGAAGCAGAACTCCCCATCAAGGATGATCTTTACAAGAAGGAAAGAAAAAGAAGGAGTCAGCATTTTAAACATCAGAAAACGCAGCCAAATTGGAGCAGCTGAGGGGGAGAACATTGGCTTGAAACCAAGGGTTAAACACACCCCTTCCCCCTCTGCCATGCATCTGCTTTGAATGAAGCACTGCACACAGATGTTCTCTCCAGCAGATCAACACTGGCAGCGTTATTCCCTGCAAATATTCCTCCAACATTTCCCCAGGAGTCCTCCCACTTTATCTGGCTGAGAAGTCTGGGGTGATTTTTCACTCAGACACCCTGTAAGCTTTGTTAAATATCAGCACAGGACCATCCAGCAACCAGGTTTCACCAGCAAATGCTAGGAGAAGGAAAAAATAAACCCAGCAAAAGAAATTACTGCTACCCACTGAGAGAAGTGTTGCATTCCAGCATTTTACGAGCTCGCTGGGAGCAAAGGGAACATCTTTTTGTTTGCTGGATTACAGGCGTGGGATTTTTCCCAAGCTGGCCCAGCTCTGCTCCCAGCTAAGCACACACAGTTTTATAACACACTCATGGTCAGAGCTCCAGAGGCCACTTTCAAAAGCTCCTAGGGATTCCTGCCCCAAGGCCAACACTTCTGGAGTGCTGCTTTTAATCTGGGTCCAGGAAACAACGTCACAGCACACTTCTGTGAGCTGCCTTAAACAAGCAGCGTTTCAGGTCACTGTGAATAACTCATCAGGTGCATCCTGGCACGTGTGCAGGAATTATTCACAAACATTTGTGTTTAAGTAGATCTAGAGATGGCAAACATATGCTAAGTAGCACTGAGAGGCTCATTTCTTTTTTAATCCTCCAGCAGAGAGGTGTGTCTATGCCCACTTTCCCTCACTCTGAGCAGGAGAAGCGCAGCACCGGGGCGTGGGCAGCTGGCAGACACGGCGAGGAGGATGCACCCTGCCTGCTGCACCCCTGCAGCCACAGCTCACCTTCAGATCCCTGTGGATGATGGGAGTCTTGCACTGGTGCAGCCTGGCCACGGCCTCGCAGGTGTCGCAGAAGATCTGCAGGACCTCGCTCTCGGTGAATCCGGTCTGCAGGCGCTGGTTCATCAGGTTCACCACCTGTCCCCCTGGCAGGACACAACCACAGCAGGGAGTGAGCTCTGGGTACCCCAAATCCTCTGGGTACCCCAAATCACAGCAGGACAGAGCTCTGGGTACCCCAAATCACAGCAGGGACACGGTGACACCTCCCCACATCACATCATGGGGCACACAACGAGCTCTGGCCACTCCAAACCCAATCCCCTGCCATCCCTGGTCCTGGGCTGCTCCTCAAACTGAGGCTCCACAGTCAGTGCAAGAGGAGGTCAAACTAAACTCACAACAAACCTCCCCTGGAGGCTTTTTACAACCTGATTACTCAGCTTGTTCCATTCCCCTACATCCCAGGGGCTTGTAGAACCTGTGGGCAGGAGTTACAGCTCACCTGGGCTCTGAGCAAACCTTCACACCAGCTCCCACAGCCCACTTTGCCCTGGCTGTGTCAGTAGTCAAGTAATTCTAACTAATTTTCTTTTTTTTTTCCTTCCAAATTGGACTTCTTTTGTCTGACTAGAGAAATAAAAGGCTGAATTTGGGGCACCCACAGCCCACAGATTAGTCTGCCACATGTAAGCAAGAAGAGGGAAGAAGGGAGACACTCAGAAAACCCACATGTTAAGTGGCTTGGCTGAAGCTGTCAACTGGCAAAGAAATTAAAAATCCATCTGTTACAAGGGAAACTCTGGACAAACAAAAGCAACTTTTCCTGAACAAGTCCTGAATTTGTCTCAGCTTTGGGGTTTTGCTGCTGTCAAGGCCTTTCCAAAACAATCCAGAGGGGTTTTTTTCTCCTCTAAACACCCTAGACAGACAGAGAAAATCTCCTTTCTTAGGCTCTGGCAAACCAGCACTGCATCATTCCACATCACAAGTGCTGGAAAACTTTCATGGTAGGAAAGAAAAGCTCAGTTTAATGAATACTACAGCTGTGAACATTTTACACTCGAATGCAGCTCTGCACACAAAGCCACTGATTTGGTTTGGAAACTGTCAGCCACAAAAGGAAAGCAACAAGGGGAAATCAGCATCCAAAGGCACTGCAGTGGGAAGGCTGCAGACAGCGGCCGGCGTGTGCTCAGCACAGCACCTGCCACTGCCACCCTGCAGCTCTCCTCCCTTCACACCAAGAGAAGCTCCTTAGAAAGATGGATTTTACTTCATCTGTGCAAAACTTGGGTGCTGCAGCTGGGGAGGTGCCTGTGAAGGACTCAGGTCTGTACCTCCCTCCACAGGGGCCTGAGCAGGGATTTGCCAGCCCTGTTGGGTCTCGTGCTCACAACAGCTCTTGTCATGTTTAGGCTGAAGCTTAAAGAGATCTTATAGAGTGATTCCTTCAGCAAAACTGCACACAAAGTTCCTCCTCTGACAGCAAACAACCCAGTGCAGGGCAGGCAAGATTCCTGCAGCAAAACAAAGCAGCAAACAGGACATGGCAGAACAGAACTGGGCACATTTACACACATCTACGTGTCCTTGCTACAATGCTTTTGAGTTCACAGCCACACAGGCTCAAAAATCCCAACTTCCACCAGCTGCCACTATCCAAACCAGCCACAGGCTCCTGAAGTCACCTGGCCAAAACATTATTTTTGCTCAGCACTCTTCCTGTGAGCTTTTGAGCCCAGCACACGCATCTTGTTCCAAACACCACATCCCAGCCACAAGGATCAAAGCTTTGGGACAGCTGGAAGAGCCTGTCTGGCTACAGACAGCCAAGCAAAAAGGTCAGAGGTAAGAGGAATGCTTTTTGGCTTCCCATTATCCATTTCAGGCTTCTTCCAGAACAATCCTAAGGCAGCCTGATGTGGAACAAAGCCTGCAATGAGACTAAAGTGAAGAAAAATTCCATTTCTGGCAGCTTGAAGAGGAGCCACTTCTTGTGCAGACCAGGCTAAAGACAACAGCAAGATGTATTTATGGTTCTCCTTCACAACAGAGGGGACCCAGCACCACCCTGTGAAGCAGCAAAGATGGTACCAATCCCCCCAGCAGAGTCAGCACAGCCTCACGGGACATCCAGGGCTCCTCTCCTGGTCCTGGCTTTGCCCAGCTCACAACAGCTCCCTGGCAGCTCAGGGACAGCTCTTTCTCCAAAAGGAAGCTGCTGGGCAAGTTCCCTGTAAGCACAGAAGGACAAACCCACCCGTGGCCAGCACTCACCCCGGCAGAAGTCCATGAGGATCAGCACCTCCCACACGTCCCCGCTGCTGACAGAGTTGATGCTGGAGTCGATGTAGCCCACAATGTTCTTGTGGCCAGACAGATCCCGCTGCAAGACAGACAAATTCACACCATGGACCAGCTAAATTCATGGAGCAGCCATGCAGAGAGAGCAGAGCTTTCATCTGCTCCTGCCACACCACACAAGCTTCTGTCACCTGGAATTCATCGTCACTCAGAGCCTGAGCAAACCTGAGGTCTGTCTCTACCTGTTCTCCTTCCAGAAGGATCTGACACAAACAGCAGAGAAACAGCCAACCTGATGAATTAATTTTGGGACATCCCCTGAGGTGGCCCAGGCCAGGCCCTGGAGCTGCTCCTTCTCCCCACAGGGCACAGGGTGACAGTGGCCATGCAGGACTTGTCTCATCTCCTTCCAACTCTTCTGCTAACAAAACACGTCTCAAATCTTCACATGCTCAAAAAAATCCACTAAAACAACAAAATAAATTTTAAACCTGCTTTTAGAAGTGCTTTCTTTTAAATAATTCAACGGATTAAAGCACAAGTTCTCATATCAATGACTTATCACAGAATCACAGACTGGTTTGGGCTGGAAGGGACCTGAAAGGTCACCAAGTTCCAAGCCCTGCTATGGAGGCACATGCTAAACTGCAGGGGAAAATTGTTTCTTGGGGACTGCCAGCTTCACACACACTCCCAGCTGTGACAGCCAGCCCAGTTTGATGCTCAGCTTCCCCAGTAGAGGAAATCAAGGTTCTGCAGGGCACATTCTTCTCTAACACTGTAGGGCTGCAAAAACTGCAGTTAAGTGGAAAATAATTCCTTATTGCAGAAAAGCGGGGCAAGAAGTAAACATTTCCTTTCAGGGATGCATTAGTTGTTCAGGACACAAATGCCTGGGATAAGATCCAGCCCAGGAACAAGCAGCCCTGCCAGGTGAGAAGAACCCTCCTCTCACTTTCCACCAGCCACCACCCCAAAGGCACCAAAGACATGGAGACAAGAGAAACCCAGGTAAACAAGCTTTGTGAGCACAGCTAAACCTTTGATGTGAGATCTAATCTCACTTTTTCCCACGTAGCCCCCAGGGAAACTGAGCCCAAAGCTTCCCTGCACTATCACAAACTACAGCAATTAAAAGGTATTAACCCAATTAAAAGCTACTTCAGAAATCACACACAGAATTGCTACAGGTAGGAGTTTCTGATATGAAGATCATCTATCCCAAACCTGTACCTCGTGTGGTAAATTCACAAAATGAGGATTTTATATTTCCTTCCCCACCTGGCAGCTGCTCTAAATGCTCATCAGTATCTTTGAATACAACTTCAAAAGTGGCACTTCCCATGTTTACCATGCTGCAAACAAGATTAGGCAAATCTATTTGGATCATCTCCATTTTGTCTTTGTTTAAAGAAGCTAAGTTTGAAACAGCTATTAAAAATAGCTATCCCACCATATAAATCCTTGTATCCAATAATCTAGAGAAACATCCCAGAGCTTATTACAAATACTTTACATTTCAAAAGCCCTGGCAGCAACTACCCCACAAATACTGTTTTAATCTACCAGCCTCACCAGTGCAGAGATAACCTTCATCCTGACCCAAAGGATTAGAAGATGTTGTGATACAGATTCATCTCAGGATGGAGGTCTGCCATTCATGCACTGATTTCAGTTCAGAGATATCAGAATCATCAGCCTTTTCTCATCAAGTTTAAAAGGCTGAAGACTAGAGATCTCAACTGAAGATTGTGAGACTCTGAATTCCAACACCCCCAGCCATGCTCACATATTCATCTCTTCTTTTTCCCATTCAGCCATGCAGTTCTCCCCTCCTTTTCCTGGAATTCCCTGGGTATTTTTCAGGTTCCAGGTTTTCTTTGTCCACTGGATAGGAACTTTTGAAATAGCTCAGTACCAGATTCCCACACAACTCCCGAAGTCAAATCTTTCCACACAAAAGCCATTTTTGCTAGGGAAATGCAGAGTTTGTGCCCTGATGGCACAGAGTTCACAAGCAGAAGGTGAGCAGGCTCCCACCCCGCTGCATGCCAGGGGGCCCAGCACAGAGCAGGGACTCACCATGATCTGGATCTCTCTCTTGCAGACCTGCAGGTCGTACTCGTTATTGACATACATCCTCTTCAGGGCACACTTCACCCCATTGCTCGTCCTCACCAGGAACACGATTGCAAAGCCACCTGTGGAAGACACAAAATTCATCATGGAGAAACCTCTTGGCCTTTGCTCCCAAATCACCAGAAAACACTTTAATGTACAGCTCTCCCTCTTTGTGCTCAATGGCTGCTATGAAATCACAGCTCCTCTTCCACCCCGACACAGGGGGCACACACGCAGGTAACACACCTGCCAGCACAGGAACTGCTCAGCAGGAATCACAAACCCCTCGGTTTCACACAGCACAGGCTGCCACAAGAACTACAGCAGGGGGTCCAAAGAATCCCCGCTGACTTTTAGAAGAAGCCCCAGAGATGCAAAAGAATAAACAAAACAAAATAAAAAACACATTCCTCCTCCCTTTTCCCCAACAAAAACAAAAATCCCACAAAAAAAATAAGCATCAAGATTTCAATTAAAGGTCTTGAAAACTAAACCCAGGCTGCAAAATGGACACTCAAATTGAGAAAAGTGGGACATGGCCCTGGGATGTCACAGCTGCTCAAACCCCCTGCTCTGGAGGGGCCTCCACGCACAGTGCTCGATTCAGACCCAAAAATAACCCTGACTCTCTCCCTGAAGCTGCTTCAAGTTGAGGATCTCAAATTACAAGTCATTTTTAAGAGCTTCTGAACCCACAGCAGTAGCTTCATTGTTCTCCCCAGCCACATTTGTCTCGTTTTTGGAGCACAAATCTGTATATCCCGCTGTGAATCCTTAGCCCAAAGGGTGGCTGTGGAAAAGAGTAACACAGCACTGTGCTGATTTTTCTTCCTCCTCTTATAACCTACACTAGAGCCAGGAAGAAATAATAACCAACACCATTTTCCCAAACCCAGCTTTCCTAGCAGCCTGTATTTTTCAGAATCATTGCAGAGATCAGGTTTTAAAATCCTTTTTTTTTTTTAAATTTCTCTTTCCCAAAGAGTTGGTTTTTCAAAGTTTATTACTGTCCCAGCCATTTCAGAATTTTTTGGTAATCACAAGACTTTTGGGTTTTGCTCCCCTCACAGAATGAGAGGTCACCCACGAGAACATCCCCCTACCTCTGCTGGTGAAGCCTCTTTTCCAGGACACGTGTGGGAAGCAAAAGGCACGAGACCAGTGCAGGCTTCAGCTGCAACAGAATAAATAAATCCAGAGACTTGCAAGCGCCACAAGGGACAAAAGCAGGAGCTAAGCCTGAGAGTCACCTCACAGGACAGCTTTCCACTACACACGTGCCTGGGATTTAAGGTTCTGAAGGAAATTCAAGTCTCTTCCTACAGCAGCCAGCAAAAGCTAAAATATCTTTCCCATTCTATAAGATGAGAAGTTATTTCTGTGCTCATCCCTAAGACATATTAATATTGTTGAGCAGCCAGCACTGGGATCTCCATCAGCCTAGAGCCACCACCAGCTACTGGGGTTTCTCTGGGTAAACTTTTCTTGCATCTCTTTGGCACTTCAGGCCTGCCTCAACAGCATGGAAACATGGTTACCTTGCTACACACCCCTACCTGACTGTTGTTCTTGCTGAAAGGTTTTAGGATAAGCTGAAAAATACTGGGAAGTTCCAATTCTCTCCAGTCACTACAGATACCAAAGCAATTTTCCATGCAGGTTTGTGTCAGGGCACTGGCCAGCTGCCAGCTCTGGTAGCTCCATTTTCAGCCCTTCTGTAATTTCAGCAGGATGCAGAACTCCTCACAGCCAGGCAAGCACTTCTAAACTAGGTAAGAGCAGCTGCACAGAGCTGCACGTGATCCCCCCCAGCTCCTCCAAGGTAAGGAGATAGCGCTGTGCTGAGTTTAAGGGATTCACGTGGACTGCAAGCCTGGAATCCTCTTGCAGCCAGCAAGCTGCAATGCAATGCCAGCCTACAACCAAGCACAGCATTGCTGCTGCATGGAGTTTGCACCCACTGATGCTGTGGCGAGGAAGAACCACAGAGACAGGAGTTCCTTCCCTCTCCCTCTGGTGATGAGGGCTTCCACAGGTGCTTTTCACTGGGCTCACACCAATCAGCTGAGCTGTGCTCTGGACATCAAACCTCACCTTCCACAGACCCACCTGCTCCTTCTGGGATGGCAGCACTGGGGTGCCAGGGAAACCACCCCAAATGTCCCCTTCCTACACCTGTAGCATCACCCAGCACCACCTCAGCCCTGCTCCAGATCTTCCCCCGCACAGTAATGTGGAGCAGAAGAGAGGAAAACAAGGCAGGTGTTGTGCCTGCCAGACAATACCCAGGAAAAGCCTGTTTCCATAGAATCACAGCATATCCTGAAGGGGAAACACCCACAAGGCTCAACCTTGTCCAGCCCCTGGCCCTGCACAGGACAGCCCAAGAATCCCACCACGCTTTGGCCAAAACAAAGCAAGTTCAGCTGCAGCCAGACAGTGTTTGAAGCCCCAAGACAACAGAGCAGTTTACCCCAGTCAGTCACGGTCCAGGGGCCAGGCTGGACTCTGCCCTGTGCACACACAGAAAGGCAGGTGGGATTTCATGGGTTCTGCAGGACCAAAGGCACTTCCAGTGCTCCCAAAACACTGCATTTCTGTGCTGCCCAGCTGTGCTGATCCAACAGCCTCTGCCAGAGACAGCAACTACACTGACAAAACAGGAACAGCCTCATCCAAACACAATTAGGCAGAACCTCCTCCTAAAATCCTGCTCGGTGCTCCTCCCAGAGACACGAGTGCTGCTTGCCCAGGAGCTGAGAACACCATGGGGGCTCCGTGACCCACCAGCTGCAATCTGAGCTCTGCAAGAGCAGCTACAAAAACATCTCCAGGGATGTCTTCCCTCTGCAAACACTGGCAAGGTTTGCCTCCAATCACATCCCTCACTTTTTTCCCAGGGTTGTTGGGTTTGAGGAGGAATCACTCCTCTTTTCAGTTAAGGCACTCAAATCATCAGGCTTGAAATTGTCAAGTCACAAATTTCCACTTTCAAAAATAAAAAAATCACTGTTCCATTTTGGATTTTCTTTATCACCCTTCCACAAATTAAATATACCTGGAATTACCACAGCTCCTGACAGGCTCTGTGAGTACCACTAAAAACTTTTATTCCTCAGTGGTGAAATTCTTTTCCGAGACGGACAAACCAGACATGGTTTTCCACTGAGTTGTTCCCACCTTGCTGTATTTTAGCTCCATCTCATCCCCCTCGATGCTCTGCATGCAGACAGCCCACTGGGCTCCAACACTGCAGCTGAGGGGAAGCCAAGATGTCCCAAAACTGCCCCGGGAACATTTGCCTGCAGGGAAGCATTTTAAGCTCCAGCTGTACCAGCAGGCACTCAGAATTAAGTGCTCTGCTGAACCAGGCACAAAGCCACTCCATTTGCACAATTCCAATACTTTCTGATCCTTATCCATCAAGAATTATGTCATATTTTGCCTTATCTCACCAGCCAGAAGAACTTCCTCAGCACTTACCTTCCTAAGCACAAGGGCAGGCTCACTCAGGTTTTGTTTTTTCCCCCCCAGTCAGGATGCTGGGATCCAGCTACAGGAAAACCACAGTGACTCCCTTGCATGAGGTGTTTCCAGCTCACCATTCCCAAAGCTTTACTAAAACACAATAATGTGTTTTTTCCCCCAGTCACAGCCACAAGCAGCTGTCACACAGACATTGCACATTACCCATCACTGGACATCATCATCTGCCAACACCAGAACCATTTTCTCTCTGGCTGTTGCCCTGAGGAAGCCATCCTGCACCTCTAGCTCCTTCTCTAACTGGAGCAACACACAGTCACTCAAAAAAAGAAAAAAAAAAAGTTTTCCCCCAAGTTGCATATATACAACAGTCACTCCTTTCAACTCAAGCTATTCTATGATGTGATTCTTGATCCTAAAGCACCGATGTTTTTGGGCACCTTTTCCAGAGACAGAGATGGCTACAGCAAACCTCAACTCTGGGATCACTTAAAAAATGGGGTCACCACAAAGAAAAAAGGCCAAGGGAAACAGTTTGGCCAAAGCTAAACAATAGAATAATCTGTAGTTATTTCAGACAACAGCCAGGCTCAGCAGAGTTCTGCAAGCACATCAGGGAAAAGCTCTCCATGTGCCAGTGCTGCTCCCCTACAGCTCCCCACAAAGCTGAAGGGATGCCCTAAGCCTGGCTCCCCACACTGCAAAGCCAGAGTGAAGATGGACAAGTGCCTGATGTGTAGGACAGGTAAAAGGTGCCCTGGGATCCTGTCCTCTGAGCACACTGGGGCTGCTGACACCTCCAAAAAAACCTTCCTGTCACTGCTGGGAAGCGCCACTGGGACCACACCACGAGTCTGGAGGAGACTCCCCATCAGCTCCTACAAAAAGCATCACACTGTCCCACAGAGCCAGCAGCAACAGGGAGGAGAGCCAAGGAAAACAGTCCTACTGCTCCTGCCTCGTGTTGTCATCTGCTGTGACCCTCCACACAAGTAAATATTTGCTGGCATATTTTAATATGGGCTTTTTATTTCAATAATAGCTCCCCATGATTTGCATTAGGATTACAGTGCTATTTTTGTGGCTATTAATCTGCACCAATGTATTCTTTCTGCTGTCTTTATTCCACTCTTCCATTGCCCAGCAGGAGGGTATTGCTGCACATACCTGATGAAAACACACCATTTCAAATCCCATTTTCCCCATTTTTATGCCACTTCTGCATCACTTCTGAGCTCTTTGTTTCCAGGACAGGATATTTCACCCCAAATTAAGCTTTCTGTTCCAGTATTATTCCTTGTTATTACCAAATGTGCCCAGGAACCAGAGGCAGCATTGTGAAGTGTTCCACTGTGATACATAATAAGGGGTTGGAATGAACAGGACCACTGCACATTGCTTTTTCTGCTTTGTGAAGCATCTGCAACACCTTTAAAGTCACAGCATGTCAGCATTAACATCTTTACAGAAAAATACAACTCCCTCATTTTCTTTTGAAGTCATTTGAGGCATAATTTAGAAGGCACAGTAAAGCAAATCTGTGCTGGAACTGCACCTCTGGGTGGTCCCAGCCCAGAGCAGACCCCCTCAAACC